CGAATGGCATGCGTCTATATGCAAATGTATCATAGGGGCATGTGAATGTTGTCTTTTCTTGATCGCTAGGATGAATTGGAATTTGGAAAAATCCGAAATAGCCATCAAGAATGCAAAAATATGAATGCAATGCGAGTCTTTCTAACATTTGATCAATGAAGGGTAAAGGGAAGTGGTCTTTACGGGTGTTTGTGTTTAGCTTGCGATAGTCAATGCACATTCTCCATCCCGTGATTGTCCTTGTTGGTATGAGTTCATTGTTCTCATTAGGAACGACCGTGATACCTCCCTTTTTGGGTACAACTTGTATCGGGCTAACCCAAGAGCTATCCGAAATCGGGTAAATAATACCCGCATCTAACAATTTCAAAATCTCTTTCTTGGCTACTTCTTTCATGTTCGGGTTTAGCCTACTTTGATGCTCGATTGACGATTTGGTATCATCCTCTAAATGTATGCGTTGCATGCAAAGAGAGGGGCTAAGACCTTTGATGTCTCCTAGAGTGTACCCTAGGACTTCCCTGTATTGCTTAAGTAGCCTGGTGAGTTTTTCTATTTGATCCTCATCTAATGCATCGTTAACGATAATAGGATAAGTAGAATTTGATCCGAGGAAAACATACCTTAGCCCTTGAGGTAGGGGTTTCAATTCCACTTGTGGCGCATGTTTGGGATCCCAACCAATGTGTGTGTCTCCTTTCGGGACTTGAGGCGCGTCGGGTATGGCGCGAGTGGTCGCGAAGAGGGCTTCGAACTGTAATTCTTACCTCTCAGGTAGAAATGGGCGGGTCGCCCAATATGTCGAGCGGTCGCTCGTTTTGTCCGAAACTGAGTCGATTTTGCTCAGACTTTTCGGGCGGGCCGCCTGGAAATTCGAGAGGTCGCTCGTTTTCTTATAATCCATTTCGAATTTGCTCAGAAATAGTGGGCGGGTCGCCTGCTTTCCTGGGCGGTCGCTCGTTTCTTCAATATTTTCTTCGAATTTCCTCAGAAATTTCGGGCGGGCCGCCTGCTTTCCTGGGCGGTCGCCCGTTTTTCCCTGGATCTCTTCTTCTTCTAAGACTTTCGGGCGGGCCGCCCGAAAATCTGGGCGGGCCGCTCGAAATAGTGCAGAAGCTTCTTTCTCTTCTTCCCGATCGTCTAATGCCCGACTAATCTCCTCGATTTCTTCCCAGTTGCTATATAAACTTGCTTCTGCGGCCATTAGTGCGATTTCTAGCGGATCCACTTCACGAAATTCTCCAATCACTTCCTCTGCCATCGCTTCGAGTATATCCTCATAACATACCGTATCACTTGTTGACGGTTGCTTCAGATTCTGATCGAGGGTAAACTCGACTGTCTCGTCTCCAATTTTCATCGTCAATCTACCAGCTCGA